AGGCAGGAGGGAAGAGGAGGAGGAGGAGGAGGGAGGGCGAGGAGGAGGAGTGGGAGGAATAGAGTCCTGGACCACTTTGCTGGCAAGGCTGGAAGGAAGTGCTCGCTCGCTGAATCATTCACGCGTCCATTGCCGCAGATATGCATGTGCTCGCTTGCTTGCACACATGTCGACTTGAGAACGGTAGACACTCACAAGCACCCGCGGTCGTAAACACCTATATTCTGTCTGTCTTTCGCTCCTTCCCTCCCTTCCTCTCCCCTACTTCCCTCCCTCCCTTAATCTCCCCCTCTCTCCCTGCTTCCCTACTACCTCCATCCTTCCCTCCTCTACAACCTCTCTCCCTCCTCCACTACCTCCCCCCTCCCTCCTTCCTCCCTCACCTCTCCCCCTCCCTCCCTCCTTCTTTCCCTCCCTTTCACCCTCGTCGCGGGCGTCCGTTTCCCTCCCTCACACGGAAACCGCCCGGAGCGCATCTCGCCGCGTCTTCCCCACGGCCTCAAACCGCTCGCTGCCTGAGAATCGGAAGGGGGTGGGGGGAGGAGGGGTGGGTTGGGTTGGGGTGGGTTGGGGAGCGAGGCACGGATTCCCACGTTTTTTTTTTTATTTTTTATTTTTTTATGGTATGTTATTTGTGTATGTATGTTTGTTTATTTTTTCTTATTCTTGGTTGCTGTTCTGGTGGGAGGGAGAGAGGGAGAGAGGGAGGCGGGGAAGGAAGGAAGAAGGTAGGTAGGTAGGTAGGTACAAGAAAGGGGAAGGGAGTAGGAAGTTGATTGAGAAGAGAGAGAGAGAGAGAGAGAGAGAGAGAGAGAGAGAGAGAGAGAGAGAGAGAGAGAGAGAGAGAGAGAGAGAGAGAGAGAGAGAGAGAGCGTGAATGAGATAAGGAAGAAGGAAAGAAAGAAAGAAAGAAAGAAAGGGAAGGGAGAGAGAAGGAAAGAGGGAGAGAAAGCCGGGTTCCTCGGACGGACCGGCTGCCGGCCTGTGTTCGGGTCATAAAGTTTGGACGCGTCAAAGCCTGGAGTTTGAGGAGCTCGGGAGAGTCCTCGGCGGCCCAGCAACAGCCGGTGTTCACGCACACACGCACGCACGTGGGATTTGTGGCCCATCATCCTTAATGCTATACTCATGGACCTGCAGGATCTCACAGCTGCTCCTGCATGTGTTTCTCCAGCGGCTCCTCGCGCGGCCGCTACCTGGGGCTTTGGGACCCGGTGTAAGCATGAGTCACACACACCTGGTATGGAAATGTCGGCTCGGGGCTTATTCCGGGCGGGGAAGAGGCTCGCGAAGAAAGGCACATGGTATACCCGGTGTAATATTACCCGTGGCTGGTGTTGGGTTCCGCGGGGGCTCGGCGCGGGCGGGCGATGGGGCTATGGGAGCAGCATGAGACGTGTTCAGCCCATGCTCACACTTAGTATGCCGTTGCAGGGCGCCTCACCCTAGTACGGTTCACGCCGAGCTCATCTGAAATGCACGGTGTGGCGGCGCGGCGTACCTGAGCGGCGAATTAACAAACTCATGCTTCACAAAACGCCGCTTAACCCGCCGCTCGCCAATCTTTTGTCCGGCCGCCGCGAGTCGACAAACCTTTTGTTTCTGCCATTTGGGCCGACGCATTACGCATAATTCGGGGGAGTGCGTGGCGCATGGGGAATCCGAGAGCGGCGTCGCGGCGGCCGATCGCTTTTCCCTCATTTCGCCCCTGGGTTTGAGGTACTGTTGTGGGTCGTTATTCTATACACGTGTGACGGGGCCGGTAGCTCACCGCGGTCGACTCGTTTCGCGTCTCGCCGCTGAACGCATTTTGGTATGCTCGTTATTCTTGCCGCTGCCTGTTTTTAGAACGGCCCTGTTTTTTTTTTTAGGTTAAGTCTGTGTCGTATAGATAAGTGGTCTTTGATTTGTACTTTTTTATTTACTTTTGTTATTTTTTATCGTGACATGAACATTAATCTTTATTATAATTCCACCTCTTTGTGTAGGCTTCCCTGTCCTCACAAGCGGCAATTACCGGTAGATTCTTTTTTTTATTCCCTTTGAAGTTGTCCTTTTGTTATGATCTCCGTTTTCTGTTGGGATTTGTTGGCCCGTCGCTCGCCGTGTAATTTCCTCGTTTTCTGTTTTTATTTCCTTTTCTCGTTTCCTCGCTCTTTCAGTCTTGCACGGGAGAGCTATCTTTCTCCATTTTTATTACATGTCTTCTCTCTCTTTCTCTTTCTCTCTCTTCTCTCTCTCTCTCTCTCTCTCTCTCTCTCTCTCTCTCTCTCATCTCTCTCATCTCTCTCTCATCTTCTCTCTCTCTCTCTCTCCTCTCTCTCTCTCTCGTCTCTCTGTGTGTGTGTGTGTGTGTGTTTTGTGTTTGCGCACGCGCATACACACACACACATATATATGTTGTATAATATAATATATATATATATATATATATATAATATATATAATATATGTAATATATATACATTATATATATATATATATATATCATTATATATATATATATATATATATATATATATATATATATATATATAATATATATAGTAATTATGCTATTTCTAATTTTATATACATAATAATTTTTGAATATAAGATATGTAAAATATATATCTTTTATGGTGGCAGTCTTTAGGAGTTATTTGTTTCTCTTTATTCTTCGCCCGAGCTGGCAGCATCCGCCAAGAATGCTACGTCACTTTAATGGGTATCTTTTTAAAAAGCAGTTATCAACATTTTCTCTTTCTCCGGCCTGCTCTCGCACATTAATATACCGCCTGTATCCCTCTCCCCTCACCCTCCTTCCACTCTGACCCTCGTTTTCCTCCCTCTCACCTCCCTCTCTCGCCCTCTACCCATCCTATCCCTGCCTCGAAAACCTCCTCCTTCTCCTCTCCCCTCCTAACACATCAGCTCCCCGGTCTCCCTCCCTCCGACTTACTCCAGCCCTCTCCCCGTCATCCATCCTCCCTTCACCTAACTCGAACCGCTATCCACACTTACAAATCCCATACGCCACTTCCCAACTTCCCCCTTTCCCTACCCTTCCCTTTCCCCACGCCTTCCATCGTTACCAGACACCACATTCCTAATCCCTTCGTATTTCACACCTAATTTGGCCCACAAGCACCGTATCTAAGACTCAATAAAACAAACAGCCCACGATCACAAGTACAGCAACCACATCCGGAACATGCCAAATGGGTCCTCGGAAGGGCGTTCTCCCGGATTATCCACTCTTCCCCATATGCTGAATAGTGTGTGTCTTGAGTGTACTGGTTAACTGCTACCGTTATACGCCTCCTCTCGAATATAATCCTTTCCTTTCTTCCTTCTTTTTCTGCTCCCCTCTCTGTCTCTTTCACTTATTTTCTTTACCAGTCACATTCTTTTCTCCTTTTCCTCGTCTTCTTTTTTGTTCGTTGCTTCGCCTGCCCCCTCCTCCTTTTCCACGTTCGTCACTCCGTCCTCTCCTCCTCCTCTTTACCACACCACGCTCGTCCACGACCCTCACCTTCTCCCCTCCTCCTCCTTTCCTTCCTTCCCTTCTTATTCCCTTTAGTCCTTTCCCCACATCCTCAATCTCATCCTCTCCGCTCCCTTCTTTCCCCTCTCCTCTATATATCCCCCTTATCCTCCACGCGGACCTCGCCTCCTCTTCCTCCTCCCTGCCTCCCCTCCTCCCCTCCTCCCCTACCCCACCCTCTTTCCCTCCTCCCCCACACCATCGCACCCCACACCACCCACTCCCCCAACACACGGCGCAGATACAACACAAAGCACCTAACTCACGTCAACACATAATTATAATCACATACGACCACTCAATACATAAACTTTTTAAACGCAGTGGCTCTAGCGCACTCATACTAATAGTATTTTTATTTGTAAGGGATTTATCATGTCGACTACCATTATTTACGTATTTCATTATTTTTTCGTTGTTGGTTTCCTCTCCCTGGCATATTTTTATCAGGGGGAAATGGAAATCGAGAATATGCAATCGATGGGTTGAAGGGGCGGCAGTCTTAGATGTTTTTTTTTCTTTTCCCACACACACTATATCACACAGACTCGACAAACACAAACTGGACATCTCTGGAACACTTGAGAGAGATTTGATGGGGGGGGGCGAGAGAGGGAAGAAGGAGAGGGAGAGGGGGAAGAGGAGGAGGGGAGGAGGGGGAGAGGGAGACGAGGGAGGCGAGGGGGGGAGAGGAGGAGGGCAAGGGGAGGGGAGGGAGGGAGAGAGGGAACAAGAAAAGTAGCAGAGGGACGAAAGGGATTGGGAAAGAGGGGAGGTGAACGGAAGGAGAGTTAGCAATTAAATGAAGAGAGTATAGGCTGAGAGGGGAGATAAGTATATAAGCCTTTAATGTGTCGCAGTATGTGCGTATAACTATATCTGTATCTATATTCATGCGTTTGTGTGTTGTATGTGTGGATGTGTATGTGTATGCGTATATGATGCATGTATATGTGTATGTGTAAGTATATGTATATGTGGCATGTATATGTATATGTGTATTGTATGTATGTATGTGTGTTGTGTGGTGTGTGTGTGTGTGTGTGTGTGTGTGTGTGTGGTTGTGTGGGGTGTGTTTATGTATTGTGTGTGTGTGTGTGTGTGTGTGTGTGTGTGTGGTGTGTGTGTGTGTTGGTGTGTGTGTGTGTGTGTGTGTGTGGTGTGTGTGTGTGTGTGTGTAGGCCTAAATAGAAACCAAAAGTAAGACCACAGGAAAAAAGAAACCCACATTAAAGAAAAAGAGAAGGAAAACAAAGGAAACAGACTTTCAGCATCTCCGAGCGAGCATCCAAGAGCAGGGGGGGGGGGGGTACACCACACGCGGTAATCGAAAACAAACCGCACGAATAAGGAGAAAATAAGAAGAAGAGGGATAATAATAATAATAATAATAATAATAATAATAATAATAATAAAATAATAATAATAGAAGAAGAAGAAGAAGAAGAAGAAGAAGAAGAAGAAAAGAAAGAAGAAGAAGAGAAGAGAAGAAGAGAAGAAAAGAAGGAAAGGAAGAGAGGGAAGGGAAGAGGAAGAGGAATAATAATAATGATAAGTAGTAGTAGTAGTAGTAGTAGTAAGAATAAGAATAAGATAGAATAAGAATAAGAATAAGATTTAGAATAAGAATAAGAATAAGAAAAAAGAATTAGAGAATCAAAAAAGTAGAAGAATGAGAAAAATCAGAAGAAAAAAAAAATAAAGAAAAAACAGAAGAAAAATAAAAAGAAGGAAAACCAAAGAAAAACAAAGACAAAGAAGAAAAGAGAAAAAGAAAAAAGACGAAATCTCAGACTCCATTCCCGGAGACGCGGGCGCGGCGGCGGGCGTAGCAGAACCCCAGCCGAAACGTGCATAAATTATCTCACAGGTAAAAGCCCAATGGCGCGTGACATGAAAATGGGGAAACATAAATTAATTCCGTGTAAAGCTAGGTCATTGATTTCTTCCAGCCTACTGGGCACGGGGGATGGGGAGAGAGGGAAGGAGAGGAAGAGAGGGAGAAAGAGGGAGAGTGGGTGGAGGGAGAGGGAGAGAGGGTGAAAGGGAGAGAGGGAAAGATTGAGACCGGGAGAGAGGGAAGGAGGGAAAGAGGGAGAGAGAGAGAGAGAGAGAGGGTGAGAGGGAGGAGGGAGGGGAGGGGAGGCAGAGTGAGAGAGTGAGAAAGGAGAGGAGGAAAAAATTAATAGGGAGAGAGGGAGAGAGAAAGGGATGTAGAGATGGAGAGGGGAAGAGATGGGATAAAGGGCGAGAGGGAGGCAATGAAAGAGGGGAAATAGGGAGATAAAGATTATGGGAATGGGAGAGGATGGGGGAAGGAGGGAGGGAGGAAGAAGGGAAGGAAGGTTGGTGAAGCCTGAACGGGTAATGGTGCGGGCGTGGGCGTAGGTCTAGAAGGAGATGGGTGGGCGGCCAGCGGAGCAGATGTGGGCGTGTTTAATCAAGTATGCTGTGAGATTCGGGAAGATCTCTTTTGTACTTGTTTTTTGTTTTATTTCTTTTCGGCGTCTGTGTCTTGCCTTGCCTGTAAGGTGTTGTTGAGAGAGAGAGGAGGGAGGGGAGGAGGGAAGAGAGAAGGAAAACACGAAATTTCATTCACAGGGGCGGTCACAAGCACTCTCTCTTTCTCTTTCTCTCTCTCTCTCTCTCTCTCTCTCTCTCTCTCTCTCTCTCTCTCTCTCTTCTCTCTCCTCTCTTCTCTCTCTCCTCTCCTCTCCCTCTCTCTCTCTCTCTCTCTCCCTCTCCCTCTCCTCTCCTCCCTCCCTCCCTCCTCTCCCTCTCTCTCCCTCCCTCCCTCGCACTCACCCAGCCAAGCAAGCACTCCTTCCTTCCGCCAGTCTGCAGAAGCCAGACGCCATTCCTCGCGAGAGAGCGGCCTTGAGAGGCAGTACTTGAAGGGTGCGAAGGACGAGGACACACGAGACATCCCGAAGAGGTCCGAAGGAGCGAGAAGGGTCGAAGGAGCTGGTGACGGGCGCGGGTGGCGAGGGTTTGCGAGGTGCCAAAAAGTGACACTTATCGCCCTCACGCTCGGATGACCTCTGGCCTCGTTGGCACTAGTCCTATCCCCGACTCTCCCTGGCGCGGAGGACACGCCCCTTCCTCGCGCTCACGCCCACGCGCGCGCTTTGCCTGCTCCGAGGGTGCGTCGGAAGCCTCTGTTGTTTTGTTTGTCGATTTGCTCGCTCGGTTATTCTCAGCCGTCTCTTGGTGTTCCAGCTGCATGGATTTCGCTCCCGGGAAACATCATAAACACGGCATAAATTACGCATGATTATACAGCAATTCTTTCTGGAATCTCGCCTCGACAACTCGGACTCCAAAGGACACCATTTGCACTTAAAACAGGATTTTTATCCTCACGCCAAGTATGACCTTGGCAAGATCTTGGCAGAAAGAATGCGCGGCCTAATGTGCCGTTCCTGGAGCGTGGGCGCGCGTTGTCGTCGGGGGCTCGCTCGCCTGGGTGTGGGGGCGGCGGGCTCGAGACGCTGGCGCCACGAGGCTGCTGCTGCTGCCGCTCCTGCAGTTGTAGATTATCCGAGGCCGCTGTAGGGTGAGTGCGGGGACACGGCGCGGAGGGCTGGGGGGCGGCGGGGTGGGGGTGGCGGGGGGTGAGGGAGAGGAGGGGGTAATGGCGAACGGATGGTACGTTCAAAAGACGGTTTTGAAATAGATTTCGAGAGAGGGAGTGAGTGAGTGAGTGAGTGTGAGTGAGTGAGAGTGAGTGAGTGAGTGAGTGAGTGAGTGAGTGAGTGAGTGAGTGAGTGAGTGAGTGAGTGAGTGAGTGAGTGAGTGAGTGAGTGAGAGAGAGTGAGAGAGTGAGAGAAAGAGAGAAGAGAGAGAGAGAGAGAAGGAGAGAGAGAGAGAGAGAAGAGAGAGAGAGAGAGAGAGAGAGAGAGAGAGAGAGAGAGAGAGAGAGCAGAGAGAGAAGGGGGGCTTGCTCGAGCGGGCCAGAAAGACGACCGCAACACTAATCTCATTGTGAGTGGCGCTCGCTCCCATACTAACCCCAGCTTCCGGATTTCAAGACGATGCTCACTTGTTTGCACTTTATTTGTTCCCTGTTTTGGTTTTTTGAGTCTTGCGTTGGATTTTTCTTCTGTGTCTGTGTCTTTGTTTGTGTCTGTCTGTTTGGTTGCCCGTCTGTCTGTCGAAATGTTTTGTTTGTCTGACGGATCAGTCTGTTTTCAGTTTCTCTCTCTTTTCGTTTCTCTCTGTCTGTCTGTCTCTGTCTCTCTCTCTCTCTCTCTCTCTCTCTCTCTCTCTCTCTCTCTCTCTCTCTCTCTCTCTCATCTCTCTCTCTCTCTCTCTCTCTCTTCTCTCTCTCTCTCTCTCTCTCTCTCTCTCTCTCTCTCTCTCTCTCTCTCTCTCTCTCTCTCTCTCTCTCTCTCTCTCTCTCCTTCTCTCTCTCTCCCTCTTCTCCTCTTCTCCCTCTCCCTCTCCCCCTCCTTTCTCTCCCTCTCCTTCTCCTCTCTGGTCCCCTCTCGCACATTCATTCATATATACATTCCAGCGTCGTATTCTCTTGCATACATTTACATAAGCAAATTACGGACACGGACCCACAAATAGACCCTCGCATGCACATAATAAACACCCTTATACAGAAATCATACGGTTCCTACCCTTAATTTTACATGGGAACGAGCGTGTACCGTAGAAGCGGGTGGTACGACCCCGAGAGTTCGTGGAAGCGTTACCGTATATACGCGCGTTTTAGGTCCGAAGAGGTCGTGGAAAAGGGTGGTAGGAGCCGAGGAAAGGGCAAAGAGGTGGTAGAGGGAAGTCGTGCGAAAGGGGGATATTGTCCAGTGCAAACGTGTGGAACGACCCGGCGAGGGCAAGGAGTCGCAAGGGCAAGGGATGGCGGGTTGCTGGCCCCTCCCGAAGGCAATTTTCCGACCCGTGATAGAATCAGTTTCTCGGCTTGATATCGGCCGGACGCTAATAGCCCCGAATACTGCTTGGTGATAGGCGGAAGGCATGGAAATGGGCTAAGCGGATAATTAAGCGTAGACATAATGAAAGGAAAGTATAGCCTCGAAGCCCGCCATCACACGATCATTATCACACGGACCGGGACCCCGCCCTGCGCCCACTTCGCGTCTCGGCGGGAGATTTTTCAGCGGGACTCGGATCCTCGGGAGATCGGCTTTCCAAAAGTGAATTCCCATTACGGCCACCTTGTAGAGAGGACATCAGAATTAATGGACGAAATAGGTTATAGACCATATATCAGCTGAGGGAGATTAATGGTGGGAAATGCGACGTTGGCCGATTGTTATAGAGCTGGCGGTTATGTTTCCTGTGCGATCTTTCCTTTTTGTTTACGAGAGCGCCGACTACCTGGCGGCGGCGAGTCGCTCCGATGTACGGTGTGGGTTGTCCTGTAATTGTTTCCGACAAGAGTTCGCCGAATTGATACTAACTGGAGAAAGACTAGTTGGCGAGAATCATTAGCTGAACAAAACTCTAGCTTCCGCAAATTGCGATTCGCCAAAATAAAAAAAAGACAGAGGAGGAAAATGTATTTAATGGATATACTTTTTCAAACGCCGCCCATCCCCCGTTATTACTTGCAGTTAATGGCGGGTTCTTTGGAAGGTAATCGGCTGGGGATTGAAAAATAACGGCTGATTTCCAGAAAATATGGAAGAGCATTAACTTAATAACAGCAACGACAGCGGCAGGCACAGTCTCACGCCCTCCGGCAGGACTCTCTCGCGCAGCAGCATTAACAGGAGGATTTGTTGTGATCAAAGCCCATTGCGCTGATTTTATTAGGGAAGTTGAAAGACCCTCTTTCTTTTCCCTCTCTTCCCCCTGCCTCTTTCCCTTCCCTCTTTCGTTCCCCTTCTGGCCTTGGTTCGCCTTCCCTCCATTCCCTTTCCCTCCCCTGCTTTCCTCCTTCCTCCTTCCCTCCCAACCTCCTTCCTCCCCTCCCCCTTCCCCTCCCTTCCCTCCCCTCCCCTCCCCCCTCTCCCCACCTTTCTCCCCTTCCCCTCCTTTCCTTTCCTCCCCCTACCTTTCCTTGCCTTCGCCCCCTCCCATTCGGCCCTTCTATTCACTGCTTTTACCCCTAGAGTCGTTACACCCTGACCGT